ACTTTCAAAGCTCATCTACTCCCCCAACGATTGTCGCCTCTAACCTCTCGTAGCTACTCAGTTTGTCCGCCAATATCACCCGTCGTTCTCGTCTGTGATCCCGGGCTTACGCAAGCACTTGTCTCTTCCAACTCGCTTGGACGGCGCACACCCACATTGAACGCACACCCACATTGCCATTGCTTCGTGGTCACTTACACATTGATGTCACTTGCTTGCATGTTCATCACTTCTGGTACTAGCTTATTTCACATTATTGTACTCTATATTGGTGTATACGCTTACTGTGTGTGCAACTTACTTCCTGTCTGTTTTAACATTTGGTGCGATGCACATCTCTCCGTGTTACCGTCTTTGCATGAATATCTGTTACCGTGAATTATTATCCATGTCATATGATCACTATTTCTTATTTCAGCAGGTTACTTGAGTGCTATACAAGGCGTATCTTACATATATATATGTCTCTATTTAACGTTTTCTTACGTACCTGATTGACGTGTACGTCCACATTCCTTGTTGTCTTGGTGATCTTCCAACTTTTACACCTACCTTTGTTATCCCTCATCTGTGTTCCACTTCGTCTTCTATAATCTGCCATCCTTCTTCCTTGTCCTCTTCAACCTTCCTGGTGTGGCTCGGCTCTGGCGAAGGTGTTGGTGCCCATAACGGTGTGGATGTTTCTTGATGTGGTGTGGTTCGGAGTGTCCATGTCGATGTAAAGGTACACACTCTTTGGTTTTGTTCTAACATATCACTTCCTCCGGTTCGTTTGGCTACCGCAACATCTTCGGTGTCGATACATAGTAGTCTGTTAATAACTCCGTCGCTAATCTCTATCCGCTCTATTCTCGCATTCAAGCGGTCTACTTGTTGACGAGTATGCGTCCGGAGTCTACGATTGTGTCGTCCCATGCGTCTGGCTTGTCTCTGGATTTCTGAGGTTATTCTATTCGTCTCCGCCTCAGACGCACTACTGCTGTTTGGTAGAAGTGCTGGCATGCTATCACTAGTATCACTACTAATAAAGCCACTATCTGTGTCATCTACTAACGGTTGTTCTATGTTGACGACCGTCATTTCCGTTTATGATATCTGAGACATCTCTCTCTTCTTTGTGTTGTGTACAAAAAATTATACTTTTACACGGGATCCTATAGTCCCTCCTAACTTCGTCCCCTATTCAGGAATAGTTCAATTAATGTACAACATCTAAGTCAGTTAAAAATGTAGTAAGTAGTCGAGGATAACTGTATCTCAACGTACTCCTCTCGTACAAGGGGAGACGTTGTTCATTTATTGAACTAAATCCTGTGACTATCATTTAGGTCATGTGTTTTCCGTTAATCAGTTTTAACGTGATTAAATCCAGTTCAAAATGTAGTCTCTAATAAAACCCTAATCCTAAATAAACCATATCAGGGAATTCCATACTACAACCAACACCGGTTCCGTCTGTAGTAAATACTTGAACAATGTGAAGCACGGGGCTCTAGAGGCCCACGGTTCGCATACTGTCACCGACGCACCATCAGACTTATTCTTCCGAAACATCTTGTGTATAAGTTTCCAGGGTACATTCATCCATCCGTTGACCATCGCCCAATTATGTCGAAAGGCGCCTCCCCGCTCGTCATACGTCCAGAACCGAGGCAGTTGCGCATCCCCTGGTGTCGCGAACACATCCACGTTGTTGGGACCGAATATCTGCTGAGCTTGTGTGAAGTATTTCGGGAACAGTTGCCAACAATCAGCGTATAGTACTTCTGGTATATCACCTTCCACAGTCCTTTCGTGGACCCTACTCAACATGTCAGGGAGAACATTCTTCTCCCCTGGAATATGTGATATCGTAAAATCAAACGGGGCTATTATGTGGTGCCACCGCTGGAGCATTGCTGAGCTTGTGTGAAGTATTTCGGGAACAGTTGCCAACAATCAGCGTATAGTACTTCTGGTATATCACCTTCCACAGTCCTTTCGTGGACCCTACTCAACATGTCAGGGAGAACATTCTTCTCCCCTGGAATATGTGATATCGTAAAATCAAACGGGGCTATTATGTGGTGTCACCGCTGGAGCATCGGGTTCAACTTCATTGTGTGTCCATATACACTAACGCCTTGTGGTATGTGAACGCCGCGAAACGCTGTCCGTCGAGGAATTCCCAAAAGTGGGTAAGCCCATATACCAGCGCCAATAGTTCCTTCATTGGCGTCGCATAGTTCTGTTGTGCCTGATTGAGCGTTTTACTGAAGAACATGAGGTAGTGCTTCTTCTCGTCAACCCACTGGAACAAAGCTCCCCCGATGCCATAGTCGCTGGCATATGTCTCCAGATTCAGGGGGACATCCTCTACTGGGAAGTGTAAAGCCACCGCATTAACAATCGCGGTCTTCATAGCCGTCCAAGCCTCCGAGTGGCGGGGTTCCCACCGTGTCCCAGTCAGCTCGTTTGGTCTCAGCTTGCAGAACTCCCGGAGTGGCGCCACTATCAGCGCGAAATTGGGAAGATGTTCGTGTAGGATGTTCGCGAGACCTAACGCCGATGCTATATCTTTGTAGCGCTGCGGTGTCGACCAATCCAGCAGCTTCGCCTGTTTCTCGAAATCAATATGAATACCTGCTGCTGATACCTTCTTCCCAAGAATCATGACTTCCTCAAAGTGACATTTATCCGGATTCAACTTGAAGCTGTGATACGTAAGACGGCGTATCGCCTCCTTAGCCGTTGCTGTGTGCTCTTCGTAGTCGTCTCCTGCTATCACTATATCGTCAATATAATGGTGCACAGGGAGGCCATCCAAGATTGTACTCAATGTCCGTTGGAATTGCTAGGTGAGTACGTGCAGTCCAAATGGCGCTGACGAAAACGAGTACTGGTGGCGTCCATGGGTGAAACTAAACAAGTATTTCGAATCCGGGTGGATGTATAATACTTCTTTCTCTGTAGACGCTATATAATCTCGTTCAATTTGGGAATCAAGAATTGGTCGCCTGGGATCAAGGCATTGACTGCCCGCATATCAAGGCATACTCGCACCTTCTTTACATTTCCCTCACTATCAAAGGTTGGTACCGCTAGTAGTGACAGGTTCACCGTAGTTGGAGTAGTCCGCTTGATAATTACTAAATCTCGTGGCCACTTTTGCACCTATTCTTCCACATATGGTATCCACCGGTCTGACACAAAGTTCCTCGTTGATCGTCGCAAGTTCATCGCCTGTTCTCGGGTAACCGGTATGGCTACCTCACTCCCTTCCAACCGGCAGCGTGTGTTATCAGTAATCGCTGCATTCGCCTCCAGGACTGCTTTCAGTTTCATACGTATGCCGTCAGGTTCAATTAAGTCCGGGGCTTGTCGTCGACAAATCGGCTTCAGTAAATTATCTAATTCTGTCGGATCTATAGGTGCCAAAGGAGATTGTAGTCCCCCTAAGTAAAATCCCAAGCACGGCATGATATCCACCCCGATGATCACATCGATCCCTACCGGTAGATTCAGTAGTTCTAAAGAACCTTTCGTTATGGACGTTCCATATCTAATTGGGATACTCTCCGTCGTCCCCAGTCGCCGAGTGTGCGCCGCCTGATCCGCCAAATAAATGTATGAATCAGGAGGAGCCGGAGAAATCGGTAGGCCTAGTGCCTCTGCGGATGCCTGCAAAATACAGCTTCTGTTTGCGCCTTAATCTACCAGGGCTCGGAACATGCGACCGTTCAACTGAATTTGAACATACACTCGTTGATCTGCTGTCAACAACGGGTCTTTGATCGCCTGTACCGAGTATCCCGCGTACGCAAACGTCAATGCTATATTGTCGTCAGACACCCTGATGTCTCATGGTTGATCTGATATAGGTGGCCATTCTAGGGATATCTTATCAGCTTCTGTTCCTGTAGTCGGATCACTCTCCCCCATATCACCAGAAAGCAGTGCTCCAATATGTAGATCTGTAGCGGTCGGTGGGGTATCCCACGCCGACGTATCTGTAAGGTTGTGTACATACGGTTGCGTGTTGTTGTCGCCTCCCGCACTCCGTACCCGTGGTACCGATAGTGTTACCGTCGTTGAGGGTGTTACTGAATTATGTGATATCGAGGCACGTTGTCGTATCTCTGACGTGCGGCCACGGTTGTCCTGTGTCGCTGCCCTATAATTATGACAACAAGGAACGTGTCGTAAACCTGGTGGCGCCTGTGTCTGGCACCCGCCACATGTCATCGTTGTCGTCGACATCGGTGTACATTGTTGCCACGGTTGTGGCCGTCGTGGTGTGACGGTTGTGATGTGCGTGGTAGCTGTGCATCCCCCCGTTGATGATCGTTGTTATGGGGTCGCCGGATCGACATCCGCGCCGTAGTTCTCGTCTGTGCTTCCTGAATATCTGGACTGAGAAGCTGCAACAATTTGTGGGTCTCCATCAATTGCCAATTAGTGTGCAATTGTAATGTCCGTTCATATGTTCGGGATCCAAGGGAGTCTTTCAATAACTGTACGATGCAGTGGTTTAAAGGGCTTTGATTGAACTCCACATCTGTCTAGCTGCGCTCATGGGCACGTCTGTGATTTTCCATGAGCTGTGTCATCTATTCCATAATGGGTATGTTTGACGCCCGAAAGTGTCCTTTCGGGTCGACTGTCGCTTGAGTTTCGTGAGAACAAATCTGTGTTATCTGCAACTCTGGTGTCCAGTTGACTAACGCTGGTGGTTGGACTTAATGTAGTCCATGGTAGATTGTTCGGACTTAAAATGGCTAAGAACCTTATAAAATCACCGCAAGCTCCACGCCGCGTCTGGGCCCGAGATCTGCGCATTCTTCAGCGGGTATCTCTCTCCAAGACATTATGTAGTTGGTATCGATTCTCGGCTCTCGTGGCTCGTGCTTAGTTACTGGGCGAGAGTTATGTGCAGCTCGCAAGGTTTCTAGTACCCCTCGTAGCGCTTCGGCCCGTGGAAGATCCTCTGCCTCGACCGCTCTACACAATTCCTCAGATAGTCAAAGCATCCGCGCATGAAGTACTTGACGGTCTGCAGCAATACTTTCTGGTGTAGGAAGGGTCTCCTTATCACTGGCCGCTGGTGGAATCGCCGGTGTTGTGTGGGTTGCTGACGTCGTGTGTCGTGGTAGCGAATCTCGTAGTGCATCCGCCTCGAAACGTTGACTCTGTTGTTGAGAATAGATCGTACCGGATAGTCTGTCACGTCGATTGTCCGATGTTTCAGGGCCATGAGGATCCTGTGCTGCTCGTTGTTGCGCATGGGCAAAATCTTGTAACGAAATAGATACTCTTGATGGAGCTGCGTTCATTGGACCCACCTCTGGAGATGGAGCCTGGTACCCTACGCCGTGTCTGGCCGCACTACCTGGAATCCTAGACTCCAAACGCTCATTTCCTCCGTGTGGTGCTGCCAACGCACGAGATGTATCATCACTCTCCTCTTGGTCCTGATCTTGAGAAATCATTGTATGATCTACTCGCGGTCCCGCTGCCTGTCTTTGTAGGTGTTGCAGCCGTTGTTCGTATTTCTCCTACAGTTCCTGCTTTTTCTTCAACAGCTGATCCGTCTTAGATTGTGCGTTGCTCGCATTCTGTCGGTGCTGACGGTAAGGCCGACGCTTCCGACGAGGCCGTGTCTGTCCTTGCTGGTGTTGAACCCTGCTGCCGTCATTCTGGCGCTCTTGTCCCCTGACTTCCTCTCTCCGTGTGCTAGTGCTCGACGGGGATGACTCGAAACCGTCGCTAGGCGGTGCTGCACTCTCGCCTTGACGTAAGCAGGTCTGATGGTCCGCTAGGGCTTGCTGCAACATTGTCTGAGTCGCTCGGAATATTTCGTCTGCATTACCTCGCTGATTCCCAGACGATCCATTGCCTACTTCTTGTGATGGTCCAACTCTGCGCTTAAGGCCTCGTTGGTGGCTCGCACTACGTACTTGTTGTTCGGGTTCCAGACCGTGTTCACGGCGGCTCTTCCGTGTGCTTGGCATCGCGTTAATTGCTTGGTTGTATGTACTTGTACGTCTAGAAACAATTGATCGCTAACCATCCCTGCCTGCTGCTTATATATGCAAGGGATGGTTCTCATCCCAACCCATATGGGCTTCCTGGCCTCACGTACTTTACTCCCAGAGTATATGGTCCCACTGCCTCCCGTGCAGAGTAAATGTTCGGGGTAACTCTCTTTCATCACTCTCTACTCTGGCCTCATGCTCCTCTAACGGTTGCACGTGTGTCTTCTGGTTGCACATGCTCACTCTTACTTGCCACCATCTGGCCCAGCAAGTACTGGCTGAACGTCTATTCACCCTGTATTCCGTTCACGCAGTATAACTCGTATCCAGTACTTCCTCGCTGCTAGCTATCCAGCTGCTTATGCCCTCGGTTGTAATACATGTCGATACCTGTGACGTTCACCTCATGTCCTTGCTTCCGCCTGATGCTTATCACAACTAATCACTAACTTAGGTTCCCTCTGTGCAAACCAATACTCGGTGTATGATGTCTAGGTGCGTGCCTCTTGCTTCGCATTACAACCTCTATCACGTGACACTACTTCATACATTCCTGCTACTAATGCCTGCACCTTTAAAGCAACACCCATCCGCATTTAAGAACTATCTATATCTTAATATACCCGCTCACTTTTCCTTCTTGACCATAGAGACTTACCTTGTCCGGTGAATATTGTCCATGTCCGTTGTTCATCGTTTATTCCTTCGCCATGTTCATGTCCGCCATTCGTCAGTATTCCTGGTGCCCTTGCTGCTCGTTTTAATGGTGCTGGTGGCCCGACTTGGCGCCAACTCAACCCATTCACCTTCACATATCGCTCTTCTCTTCTTATAGTATCGTATATATCCCATCTTGCCAATCGCTGCCTTCTTATATTGATTGATTGGTTGATTTCATGGCGTGATTCTCGTAGGGGGATCACTTCTTCATTTGTGTGATCCTCATCTTCTTCGCCTTCCTCAGAGTCACTCTCTGAGTTTGACAAAAAAAGATGGCAAGCTCTGGTCACTACTGCAAAACCCGCTGTCCTCACTGCTCAGTTGTTGGTCTGCTGCTAACAGTCCAGTGGGGGCATTAACACCTCTCAAGTGACTCCTTGGTAGGCTCTTCCATTGCCTCGATGTTGATGCCCTAATTCTAGCGAAAAAAAAATATAGGTCATTTTTCCGTCTTCCTCATACTATGTCGATTCTAACTTTACTTCCAATAAAGTACAACTATATAAGCTTGTTAAAAATGTAGTCAAATACGCGAGGTTAATAATATCTCAACGTACTCCCCTCATACAATGGGAGACGTTGTATCTTTATTGAATCATAAAATGAACCATAGGTCCTATTTGACATGTGTATAAATTTGATCATAAACCCTAAACCAGGGTTTATGACTTTTCTCAAATAAACATTAAAATCCTAAATAGACCTAACTGAGTATATCTGACCACATGTATCTCTTACGTACTCTGTACATACGATCTGCCTGTACTTTGGCTTCCGCTCTTATGGATGCTTCATTAGGAAAGTAGAACACACTATGTTTCATATCTGATAAGTGACCGTCACTTCCATCAGACAGTTTGTCTGCTTTAATGATTGCGTATACCTTCTCTTGCGGTCCCTAGTACATGAGTGCCTTCTATCTCGCTACTTTGAGTAGTTGTGCGTGTATTGGCTGCTTGTCTGTGTTCCAGTAGCGCTCTTCCAACACTTGCATTGTTCTGTGCAACCGCTATGTGCGCACATCTACGTTCAGTGCCTTGTTCTCCATGTCATTGGGAAACTTCTCTAACATATAGTCCAATGGGTTGTGCCCGAGTCTATCAATAATATTTCGATTGAATTGCTCTATATCCGTGTAGTGCTTTGTGACTCAAGTTCCCGAGTCACGTATCTCATTGAGTACATCTTTGGTATTCTCTGTTGCATCAGTAGATGTCAGTTAAATCTAGTAGATATCTCACAAGTGCTGGGTACTGACATAGTGGCATTGAAATAGCTAGGAATACATGCGTAGTAAACTCTATTGCTAGAACAAAATCAACACTGTTATTCTTATCTCCTATACAGTAACAGTTCGGTACTAAGTATAGTACACAAGAGAACTGACATATGTCTGAGTATCAATATAGAGGGGATTCACTAAACACCACCCCGTGGGTATGTAGATTCCACTAATCACTACCCTTGACGATCACTTAGTAGATATATCCTCAAACCCTACCATATTTTTTAGGGGTAGTGATTAGTGAAATCACATCATTTTAGGGTAGTAAATAGTGGATTTTGAGAGGCGGGTTGAATAAGCTTGTGATAGAGTTCATATACAAGTTTTCACATGCGAATTAATTTCCTTCTTTATTCTGTAGTCCTAACGTACATTGTAAATACTTTCCGGCAAAGTGTACGCTCTGATGAGAGCGGTCATTTTGTGATTTGCCAAGTATTTGCGGAGTTCTGACGATGTACAAGTCTTGGCAGTGTGATACTTCGCAGAACATATTTTGCATATTTGTGGATTTCCCTTGCGCTTGTTTTTACGTCGATTCCTGGCACGTCGACCCTTTTTACGCCCTCGATGACCAGGATTGTTTGGAGGATATACCTGACATAATTTGCTCTCGATATCGAGTTCATTTGTAATTTGAAGAGTCTCCGAATACTGCTTCACGTATGTCTTGCATCAATATATTATGACACTCACTCCACATGGCAGAATGTCAATGTATTATGACACTCACAGATTACATGATATACTTTCTTGTGAACTATTACATTGTCTACACAATATACAACCCTGCAAAAAGGGATAATAAAGTTACTCGATTCATAGTTTTATTTAATCAACACTAGACTCCTACAATAGTGTCTCTCCTCTGTCTCATACCCTTCGCATTCAGCTACCCCACGCGCTACACATCTGCGGGTACCACAATCACGGGTATACACACAGTCATCCAACATGCCTCCCTCCATTGAAGTCTTTACTATACCCCAGGCCTTCGACTCCCTCGAAAGTGCTATTGCATTTCATGATGATCTTTGGCCTGGTTGTCCTACGTATCAGACGCTTGACGAGGCAAACACGCACTTCCTTAACATTCATGCCATGCTCAATGAATTCCAACTCGTTGCTCACGACATCCCCGTTAGCACGGCTGTCGTCCTAGCCCATCTCGTCGTCTCGCACACCAATGCTCATCGCATTAAACCCAACCGCGACCATTATCACGACGATGCTACCCGCTATAAACAGAAATCCATTGACTTGGAATACGAACTCAACCAACTCCACGATCTTCATTCCAGTATTGAGCGTGAACGGGATATTCTTAAGCGCCGCCTCGACGAAGCCCTTGAAAAGCTTGCTCGTACTGAAGCTCATCTCCACGATGAGATCAAATCTGATCACGATTCTTCTCGTCTTCAAGACCTAGTTACTACTCTTCGTGCCGACCTTCAAGCTGCCTTTGATCAAATACAGGCTATTCGTCGTGTCCACAAGAAACCTCAGTCCATCGCTGAGAAATATGACATCTCTCCCACCAAGCCTGCCGTTGCCATCACCGACTGCCCCAAATATAAGGACATTTATAAGCGCACCAAACTCAAGGATTATACTAACTTCGGAAACTGGCTCATTGGCTTACGTATGGAACTTGACCACTTTGATGTTATCCATCGCCTTCACCCTCATTGTGACGACGTCTCAGTCGGAGGCGGCCCCGACATGCTCGCTGACGCCCGCTGCCGCCGCATTCTCGTTGACTCCATCAATGAGACACTGATTAATTCTATATACAAGTCTCATGTGTCCAAGGCACCCCATGCTTACTTTAAACACATCTGCCTCACCTTGCATGTATGCTTGTGGTAACCTCCAGCCCCGGTACAGTCGGCAACCATTACAGGCAGTCATGGTCATTTCTGGACTGCCATGAAATCTCTCATCAATTTCACCGCCACCGGGTCTCCCGATTTGACTCTTCAGGCACTAGACGACATCCGCCGACATCTTCTTGACGTTGGCAAAGTCGTTCCTGATAAGTATCTTATCTGTGCCCTCTTATACAGTCGCAGTGGCGACTACAAACTCCTTCGTTGCGACATTTTCGCTCAGGATATTGATGCACTCACCATCGATGAACTCACCATCGATGCACTCACCATCGATGATGTCTACATGAAAGTCACGAATTTCACAGGCGATTACCATCTTGACGTCTCCCCTTCTCCTTCCGGTTTAAACGCACTTACCGTCGGCAATCCTTCAACGCCTTCCACCGCTGGTCCTACTCGCCGAAACAAGCCTTGTCCTATTTGTACTCAACCAGGCCACAGTATTTTTGGGTGCCCCGATTCCATTTGTCGCCGTTGTGGCTCCAATGACCACAAAGGCAATAAATGTCCCGTGGTCCGTTCAGCACTTTCTTGTACCCACTGCTCCCATACAGGTCATAATGCTACCGCGTGTCTCTCCAATTAAAGCCACGGGATACACAGTGGCACACATTCCGGCCTTCCACCCCATCTCTTTCGCCACGCCGACCCCTCCTTGCCTACCGGCCATTTCACTGTACACTGTGCCACTTCTTGCAATGAACCCGCAACACCCTCATGTGTCGCTAATTCTTTTATTGATTTCGGCGCCATGATTCATATCCGTGACACTACCCAAGGTGTTATTCATCTCGAACATGGTGTCTTCACTGTGGAGTTCCTCGACAAATCACAGATTACACCCACACAACGTTGTTATCTTCCAGGCCTTGGTCCGTTCTCATCATGCCACAGGCTACTCAAAATATCCTTTCCGTTCGCCTCTTACAACGAAATGGTTATCGCATTATCTTTCCTCCGCAACGCGACACCTCTCACCCTACCGAGTGCGTCATCAACCATCCCAACGGCAGCACTATGCGCACCACATATACACATGGTCTCTACAAAATCACTGTTTGCGTGCGGTGTAGGGGACTATAAGTAAAGTGCTAGTGTATCTAAAGTATGGTGCATTCGAATGAATTTATTTACGATCTCACCTTCAGTTATATATTGATGGTATTTGTACTAGTGTTCAACCACTTGGGTTGGCCAGGGTAAAAACTCATATGATCAGTATGAGAAACCTATGCAGAACACTTTAGCACTCGGATATATTTTCTAGAAATAAATATATCATATTTTCTGTTACTACACTCAGTCTCGGACCTCGGCTCTCGGCTAGCCGGTGGCTTGTGTCCTATAAATAGAATAATCCGAGAATAAGTCTCAAATTACTCTTACGTTCTCTCGGGCTGACCCACCTATACTTATATTAATTTGAGGACAAGTCCCAAATTACTCTCGGGCTGACGACGTAAAACGCTATTAACGTATGAGTCTCTCAATGAGAGACTAAAGTAGTAGACGTATTGATGTTCTTGCCCATCCCACGGATGCGTCTTTTTGTACTACCTGTGCTACCAGCAAAATGCGTCGCCGCCCTATTTCCCACACGCTTAAAGATCCTGCAACTCGTCCTCCAATCGGCACGGTTTTTCATGTTGATCTTGAAACTGGCCTCCATTCTTCCGTTGGTGGTTGTACATCCAACATTAAGTTTGTGGATGCCAATTCCGGGATGCCGTTTGTCTATACCCTCAAGTCCAAAGACGAGGCTGCCCATACTCTTGATCGCTTTTACACTGATATCGGCAAAGACAAGCTCGCCAACCTCCAAGAGTTAAAATGTGATCGCGGCGGAGAGTTCACATCTCCCGTGTTCAACGCTATCAACACAGTTGCCCACGTGAAAGTCCGCTATGTTCCGACCAACTCCTCTGCTTTACAAGGTCTCGCCGAGCATGTCAATAGCAGCATAAACGACCTTATGGCTAGTCTACTTCACCATAGTCAGCAACCCGAACAAATGTGGGCTGAAGCCATCCGTGATGCCACTCTTCTCAAAGCCATTCAACACAATCAGCGTAATCCCGACAACAAGTCGTCCTGGGAGATGTTCTACGGCGTATCACTCCAATCCCGCTTACGCTCCTTGTATGTTTACGGCTGTCTTGCTTACGTCAATCAAGATCCACAGCGTAAGCTTGATGATCGTGTTCTCCTCGGCGTGTATCTAGGCCATGGCACTAAGTATTACGACGAGTGTCGCTTACTCAGTGCGAAAACTGGTCGCATTTGTCCTTCTCGTGACGTCAAACTTAGCGATCGTGTATTCCCCACCTGGACAACTGTTGGTACAACCCCTCTTTCACAGTTTCTCACACCCAACGAAGACTCGGGCTTACTATGCTACTACGTCGTCTTCCACTTACCCTACGCTAAGTATTACGACGAGTGTCGCATACTCAGTGCGAAAACTGGTCGCATTGTCATTCTCGTGACGTCAAACTTAACGATCGTGTATTCCCCGCCTGGACAACTGTTGGTACTACCCCTCTTTCACAGTTTCTCACACCCAACGAAGACTCGGGCTTGCTATGCTACTACGCCGTCTTTCACTTACCCTACGTCTCCGTCCGCTACCACCGCCCAGTCTACAGGTTCTCCTCATACTCCTCCCTCCCCAATGGCCCCATCCGCCTCTCCTCTTTCAGGGGAACTATCTCATTCCGCTTCAGGGGAGGTTCCACCAATTGTAGGGGAGGTTTCACTCGCTTCTCCTCCTTTAGAGGCGCTCTCCCATTTAGCTTCAGGGGAGGTTTCCTCTCCTGCCCCAGCTTCACTTCTCCGTCAGCTTCCCCCCCAACTCCAAGGGAGCCTTTAGGGGAGCCTACTACCCCTAGTTCCGACCACTACTCTTCACCTGCTCCCGCCATTAATGCCACCCCCCCCCCCCCCTCCCGCCGCCTCTCGAAGATACCATTAATGCCGATATCCGTACTCATACTGCCAGACATCCCACATCACGCACCCTTCGCGGTCTCCTTCTCTAACTCCGGACCCTTACTTGCCCCGCCCTTACCCAATAATATGTGCATGACACGTCAACGCGCTCACCAAATGACTGCCCATAATGTCCAGTCTCAAAATGCCCTCGCTCTCCTTCCCACGCCTCGACCGTTACGGCATATCACATGGTCATCAGACATTGAAAATACTGGCCCCCTTCACCCCTTTCGTCGCACATCTTCTACTCCACCCATCCCCCTCGATCTTTCTCGCAACGAATCTCTGCTTCGTCACAAACACACCCACTCGTTTGCCCATCTTCGCCGTACCTATTCCCAAAACAAGATCGATCGATGACTTCGCCGTACCACCTCTCAACTGACACGATCCTTTCCACCCATTGTTGTTCCATCCCCTTCGTCTCCCTCCTCTCATCCCCTTTGCTCGGTCACTCTGCCCGATACCATCCCTGTCCCGCTCCGCACTCCGATGTCATCTCTACCTCCGTCCCAGCAACAGCTCTACAACGACACAGCCCGCCACATATACTCTGTTACGTGTTTAGCCGTTCAGTCTCATCCCCTCACCCCCAAATCCATCCGTGAAGCACTCCGTGGTGAAGACGCCGACCTTTGGTGCGCTGCCATCGAACGTGAACTTCATAGCCTCGCCAAATCCAACACATATGATCTTCTTAAGCCCGAATATGTCCCAGATGATGCTTGTATTGTTTCCAGCAAGTGGGTCTTTAAAGTCAAATTGATTGACGGCATAGTTGATAAATACAAGGCACGATTATTGTGGTAAACGAACGCTTCAATAAATGTATCGCAACGTTCTCCCTACGTAGAGAGGGAGACGTTGTTCATTTATTAGTAATTGTAAAATTAGTGACTCTAAAAGTGAGTCATAAGTCATGTGCTGTAATAGTCAGCAAAAACCAAGTTTATCAGATTATTCTGATAAACTGTAAAAAAAACTATAATTGCTAAAATAAACAACTAAAACCTAAGTACTTGTATTCTGGCCACAACCCCCCCAAACTGAAGCACTGACCGAAAAGCAGTGTGCCAGTTTTAGAGATAGTGAGGAATACCCAAGTAACTTAGTTGCTGGCATTTATCCTCTGAGAGCTAGAGGGCTCGACGATTACGGTTCGAGCGCACCGTCCTACCGAGTAGGCATATCTGAAGATATAATTTTAGATTTGGGCACGTTGGCGTTTACGTGTCCATGGCTGCGAAGCTTTGTGGTAGTCCGCGATATCGTTGGCATCATCAAAAGCCTCCGATGTTTCCCACGTTGGATCGCCTTCACGCCATCGCACCAAGTATTCCAATTCCCTGTTTCATCATTAGTACGGTGTGTAATAATGTGGCGAAACTCAACACCTCCTCATGTCCACATTTCGTCGTTAAGTGGTGGGTCTGTGCGCCTATGCACTAACCGGAGGAGTTCCACCCGTACCGGTTTGTGATTGAATTCTGGAGGGGCGGATCCGTCTTTATTCGCTAACTCATATCGTTGTCCGATCCTGGCCTTCACCACATACGGCCCAAACAGTGGCCGCATTGCCTTAGTCGTTCTACCATCCGATCGTACCATAACCACATCGCCTTCGTCGAAATGGACCAAGTCATGAGCGTGCAGGCGGTCAAATGTCTTCGTAAGTTTGCCTGTATACTTCTTGGTAATGTGGTGGAGAGTCGGCAGTATGGTATCCAGCAACTGGTCTAACCGTTGTGCCCAGGTGTCGTTCGTCATCGGCTAGGTATCCGGTAAGTCATCAGTGAAGTGGGCAAATGGAACATGACGGCGGCCAAAATATACACTGAACGGCGCGCTCTTGTGACATCAGAATTCCGAAAGTTCTGATAGAGCATCGTAAACCGAAGGCGTTCGTCTCATCGTAGAGGAACTGCCTCACAGCATTGTCGAATGGAACGTGTAATCTCCTTATGACGGCGTTCAGCAGCACCCAGTACCTGGGGTCGATATGGAGGTGACACCTTGTGTAGCGTATCCAGCAACTGGTCTAACCGTTGTGCCCAGGTGTCGTTCGTCATCGGCTGGGTATCCGGTAAGTCATCAGTGAAGTGGGCAAATGGTACATGACGGCGGCCAAAATATACACTGAACGGCGCGCTCTTGTGACGTCGGGATATCCGAAGGTTCTGATAGAGCATCGTAAACCGAAGGCGTTCGTCTCATCGTAGAGGAACTGCCTCACAGCATTGTCGAATGGAACGTGTAATCTCCTTATGACGGCGTTCAGCAGCACCCAGTACCTGGGGTCGATATGGAGGTGACACCTTGTGTAGCATACCCACTTCTTGGACCAGTAGCCCCACTGTCTTGTTAGTGAATTCATTCTCCATGTCCGTCTGGATCATACGTGGGAAACCATGCTCGCCAAAAACTGATATTAGTGTCTGTGCCGTCGTCTCATTCGTCTTGTCCGTGTCGCTCGAAGGATTGAGTAGCCTGTAGCAATGTCCAGGACGTGAAGTATATAATTGTTCTTTCGTCTGGACTCAAGTGGCATCGGGATATAGTCGACTTGAATATGGCCCCACGGGTAGCGCGCGTCAATGCTAATCATCGGGTGGAAACATTTACGAAGCGTATCCTGTCCCAAACATATAGCGCACTGCCGTTTGACTTCCGTTGGCAACTCAAGTGCGCCCGGCCACACATGACCGTTCTGACGGAGTTGTTGAGTTCGTGGTGCGCTTGTGTGAGTCGCGTACGGCGTTGTTGTTCTACTGGCGTCGCCTGCTCAAATGCCGGTTGACCTTCTGCATCCGCCATTGCCACCGAGATCTCTCGCGCGGTATCTAAACATATTACGTACGTTGTGTGTTTTGGTTCTGCATACCCAAGTCGCTGTGAAAACAGCGGGTCCAGTTTGAACCCGTTAGGGGGTCCCACTCGTGCAATCACTGTGTGTCCCCATGGCGTCTTGCCACAGGCAAACTTAGCGTACTTGAGGAACGTGTGCCGCGTTCGTGGGACCAGCACTGGTTCTGATTGCAACAACTGTTTGAACAGGTCAAACCATGGTGCTCTTGGTACCCATGGCAGACACACCGTGGCCCTCGCACCATCGGTCCTTATCTTGCGTAACATTCTCTGTATCTTCTCCCATGGTGGGTTCATCTATTCATCGACTGTCGACCAGTCGTGGGCAAACGCCCCTTCCCCATCGTCTTTAGTCCAAAATCGAGGAAGCTGAGCGTTAGACGAGTCCGCAAATACATCTGTATTGTTCGGACCGAAGTGTTGTTGCGCTTGTTCAAAGTAACTAGGGAATAACTGCCAACAGTCTGTGTACAGTATTTCAGGTTCGTCCTGCTCCGCAGTCCCCTCATGTACTCTGCTCAACATGCCCGGAAGCACGTTTGTCTCTCCTGGTATATGTGATATGGTAAAGTTGAACGGTGCTATAATATGGTGTCATCTCTGAAGCATCGATTTAAGCTTGAGCTGTGTATTCATATACACCAGGGCCTTGTGGTCCGTAAAGACTGCAAACCGTTGCCCATCCAAATGTTCCCTAAAATATGTCAGCCCGTACACCAAGGCTAGTAACTCCTTCATTAGTGTAGCGTAGTTCTGTTGCGCATGGTTCAGAGTCTTGCTAAAGAACATTAAATTAAAAAAATTCCCGTCGACCCATTGGAATAACGCTCTCCCCAAACCGTAATCGCTAGCGTCGGTTTCCAAGTTCAATGGTATACCGTCGACCGGAAAGTACAACGCCACTGCATTGACAACTGCATCCTTCATCGCCTGCCACGCCTGTGCATGTCTTTCCTCCCAACGATCGCCGATCAACTCCTTCGATTTGAGTTTGCAAAACTCGCGCAAAGATGCAACTGTGTTCGCGAAGTTGGGGAGAGATGTTCATGAAGATAATTCGCCAATCCTAAGGCAGAGCCTATGTCTTTGTACCGTAGTGGGGTAGGCCAGTCGATAAGCTTGGTCTGCTTCTCATGATCAATATTTATGCCTTGTGCCAACACCTTCTTCCCTAGGATCATCACTTCGGGAATAGCAAAGTGGCACTTGACGGGGTTGAGCTTAAAACTCTGGTATGTTAAACGTTGAATCACCTTCTTCACCGTTCGAATATGTTCGTCATAGTCGTCGCTGGCAATAACTATAGCGTCCATATAGTGGTAGACCGGCAAGCCGTTCAGTATTGTGCTCGAGGTTTGCTGGAACTGTTGCGTGAGCACATGGAGTCCAAATGGCGCCGATGTAAACGAGTACTGATAACGCTCGTGTGTAAAGCTAAACAGATATTGTGAATCGGGATGGATCGGTAGCCTGTGATATGCCGCCGATATATCCAGCATAGTGTAGTACTTCTTACTCTTGAGGCGAGAGATAAGTTCGTTGACCCTGGGAATCAAGAACTGGTCGCCCGGAATAAGCACGTTGACAGCACGCATATCTAAACATACGCGTACCTTCTTCAGGTTCCCTTCTGCATCAAACGTCGGGACCGCAAGAAGCGGGAGGTTAACAGTCGTCGGTGTCGTCCGCTTCGTGATCACCAAATCCGCCAACCACTTCTTCACCTGCTCGTCCACGTATGGTAGCCACCGGTCGGATACAAAGTTACGCGTTGATCTGCGCATGTGCATCGCCTGTTCATGGGTTACTGGAATGGTAACTTCGCTCCCTTCCAGACGACATCGCGCCTTGTCAGCAATCTGCGCGTTCGCCTCTAAATCCTGTGCCAGCCGTTGACGTGCAACGGCGGGTTCCATCGTGTTCGGTGCCTGTCGTCGTGGGATGGGTTCGAGGAGCTCATCGAGTTCTGTGGGGTCTATTGGTGCAAGTGAAGATTGGATGCCGCCTATGTATAGACTCAAGCCTTTCAACATATCTTGTCTCGCTATGATGTCTATTCCTGCCGGTAAATTCATTAATTCCAGTGACCCGTCGGATAATCTTGGTCCCATACCGAATGGGTACCACTTCCGTCGTCCCCAGTTGAGGAGTTCGAACCTCCTTGTCAGCTAAATATATGAATTACCCAGGTGGTGCTGGAGTTATTGGGCGGCCGAGGAGGTCTGCGGATGTCTGTGAGATACAACTTCTGTTTGCTCCCGTGTCTAACAATGCTTTGAACGTACGTCCATTAACTTGCACTTGAATATAAACTCGGTTATCAAAAGACAGTAATGGGTCCTGTATCGCCATCACTTCCCTAATAGTATTAACAAATGTGAAGCTCATATCCGACTAAGACACCCTCACATCTCATGCTTGATCGGTAACAGTCTCCCATATACCGTAATCCTGGTCTGGTTCCAGTATTGTGTGCTCGAAGTCTTCCGTGAGCATCATGTTGATGTGTACCTCTGTAGCTGCTGATGGTGGTACAAAACTGTCGTCGTTTGTAATCGTGTTCATCTGTACTTGCGGAGTCGGACGTGTAGTGACCAAGTCTTTGCCCGAGTTGTTGGGCTGTCCCTGTCCTAAGGTTGAAGCTGCGGACGGTCTGTGTGCAGGTTGTGCGTCTCGTGATGTGCGGTTGGTGTCATACGGTCGCGCCCTGCCGTCCGTACCCCCTCGGGGCGACGCTCGGAAATGGTGACATCGCGAAATATGACGTGAACCTGGCGGTGCTTGTGCCTGACATCCAGCACACGTTGTAGGTAATGTCGGCTGGGGTCGCTGTGCCCAGTTCTGGGACTGTCGTCGAACCGTCTGCGGGTTAGAGCGGCTATTGGTGTAGTCACGAGCCCCATTACTTGGTGGACCATCGCAATTATTACGGTTCTGGAGTCGCGCCGCAGTGCGCTGCTGTGCGTCCTGAATGTCGGGACTCAACAACTGTAGAAGCTCGTGGGTCTTCATTAACTGCCATTTGGGATGTAATTGTAGAGTGCCTTCATACGTACGGCGGTTGAGAGCTTCCTCCAACAGTTGAACAATGCAGTGGTTTAATAAATTCTGTTGGAAGTCGGCATCCGTCTGGCATCATTCACGTGCCCTCCTTTGGTTCTCCATGAGCTGTATCATGTGTTCCATAATAGGGGTGTGCATGTTGCGGTTATGGCCCTTGGCAAGCTTACAAAACACGGGATCAACAGTGGCTTGAGAGTCTCGTGTGAGCAAATCTGTTCGATTTGTGGTTGTGGCGTCCACATCTTCAATCGTTCAGAGTTGTCACGTATGTAATCCAATGTTGACTTCTCAGCCTCTAAGTAGGATAATACCTTGTGGAACCATATAAGGCTCCAACTCTCATCTAACCCTGCGATTTGCGCGTTCTTAAAAGCCTCCAGTAAAGCCCCCTTCGTGTCCCGTTCCATGAAGTCGTGGAGGTGGTATCTATTCGAGGGCCAATCGGGCCATGTACGAGGTGATGGTACTGGACGCTTTTTCACTGGACGGGACTCTGGCGTGGCTCGAAGCGTTTCGATCGCTCCCCTAAGAGCTTCAGCTCGAGCCGTATTATTATCCTCTATTGCTTGGCATAGCTCGTCGCTCAAGTGTAGTATACGTGCGTGTAGCACCTGTCGACTTTTCTCGATACTCGCCGGTGTGGGTGGAGGTGTGAGCGTCGTCGTCTTCGCTCGCTTAGGCGTCTGTACATACTCACTGGTTGCTGCCCTCTCGAACGATTGTCGCTGTTGTTGTTGGCGATAGGTCGTGCTCATCTGGTCCTGCCTGTTCTTGAGCGCTTCCTGCCCATGTGGGTTTTGTTTGGCCAACACCTGCTCACGTGCGAATTCTTGGAATGACGAAGCCTCGTCCAGAGACGACAAAGTCTCTTCTTCCTCGGAGAGTTGACCTGCCGACCCAGGTGATTCATACCCGAGTCCATGTTGCTGTTGTGAACGGCCTTGGATACGAAACGTGGGATTGCCCTCCCTACCTCGTGCCCTATGCCCCCGTTTATATGGGCTAGTCAACGCTTCGTGCGCGGACAACGTTGTCGTAGGTCGTTCTGAAGATGTACGCTTCAGCCTTTGTTCGTATTTCTCCAAGAGCGACTGTTGTTGTGCCATGAGCTCGGTTAGCTTCTGTGTTGACGACTGGCCCTGCACCGTGCCCTTGTTGTTGGAACGACGGCGGTGGCGCCTACGCTTATTAGGTGGGAAGCGTGGTTGCTCGTTACCGGAAGATGAGGCTCCAGAGATACCCGAAGACGAACAGGAGGGCAGCCCACTACTAGCTACATGTTCACCAGTACTGGACTGCCCCCTGTCCGCACGCAAGTCGGGATCTCCTTTGGCCTCGTCACTAATTACCACGTCTTCCTTCGTTAGGCTGATATCACCCTTGGGTGTCTTGGATGCCTGTCTAATGTTAGCCGCTGCTTGGTGATGAACCTCTCTATTCTGTAGTTCCATCTGTCCGTTCTCAGCACGTTGGCCGGTATGGTCCGTGACAGACTGGTGGCGCTTAGTCCCTCGACGGTCTATGGAGTCTTCCTCCCGACGTTCAGGGGTCAGATGTTGCTGCTTACGGCTTTGACGTAGGTTGGACGTAATAGTACGTTGTGTAGTTCAATGGAGGTATACGTTGTGTGGTTCAATGGAGGTTTGTAATGTATGTAAACGTCCTCGAAATAGGTCGGGTATAAATACTTCTCCGTCCTAGAGATCGTTTCTCATCTCAACAAGTCTCGACACTGTTTGCCCGGAAAGATTTATTCCGTGCCTTTCACTACGTCCTTTTCAGAGTGGTACATTAGTAAATGAATTCTGCTCATGCCTCCAGCAGACTATGGTGCCGTATATCCTTCGATGAAATACTTGTCGGGGTTCACCCTACACTCCTTGGGTGCTACTCCAACCTCCTAGTGGAGTCACATCCTTAGAGAGCTCCACCGCTCTCGCTTTACTCTTCTTCCTATGCTAATCATACTCCCTTGTGCAGCTGCATGTGCCGTTGCGGTTGTCGGTATGTAACTGCCTATTGTCGGCCTGTCGTGCCCTACAGACCCCTCTGTTTACCTCTAGATCCTGCTTGGTACTTTCTTTCGAGCATCTCTAACACAAAGTCCTTCCTAGACAAGTAGTTCCCAGTGCCTCTGTGGATTCTAACTGTGCATTATACAATTCTTACCTCGACATCCCCTAGTTTACCAGATATCATCCCTATCTATGTACTGTAACTTCTAAGGTGGTTCTTTGATTTACAGTAAGACTCAAATTGTACTATTAGTCCGTATCGTACCACGATCCTATTGCTAACCTCTTTGTTCAATGTACCTGGGTACCATTTAAATATGGACATACTCTCTACCCCTTCGATCTCTCAATTTCGTCAAGAAGAATCTCTCTTACCACGTTAGTAACGTACTATGCTTATGATATCATGATATACATCTATAATTGTTTACGCTGACTTGTTCTTTGTGTCCTTACTTGCTTTCTAACCTTCATTTTAGTCCCTTTAAGTATCTTCTAACTGGGACATTGCGAACTACCTAACTTTTCCCTTTGTCTATGCCTAGAGTTAGGGCGTATTTCTTGTAGTATTATATCTACTTGCCCCATCTACCGTAGGTGCAACATTCCTAATTCTATTCTTGATTGCTTCTATGCATACAACCTCTTAGATCTTACTCACTATATAAACTGGTTCCATTTCTCTAACGCAATTTCTACTGAGTATCCTCTAACCAAAAATATTTCCAGAATAGGGTTGTAACTCGATATCTAACTCACAATTTTACCCACACTATTTGTTTCTACAACATATAATCACCAAACTATTTTGCACCATCGTTTCTACTTAACTGATCGTCTGGCTGGTCCCTCGTCTTGGCCGTTTGGCCCTTCTTGTCCTGCTCATTTCGTTCTTGTACTTCAGATGTCTGGTCCTGATTCGATTGCTTCTTGGGTTCGGTCGTGGGCTCCTTGGGTTCGGTCGTAGTCCTCTTCGCTGCCACTACTCGATATCAATGATGGCATTGTGGCACTAACGTCACTACTTGTGTACCCACTATCGTCTTCTACCGCGGGTAGATTCTCAAAGATTTCATCATTTTGTCGCGCCATCTTACTTCCGCTATTATAACAATCGATGTTCTCTTTCTTCGTTCGTCGTATTCCTGTAGAAAAATCTAAAAAAATTTCATTCAATTATTATAAAGTAGCTTATTTCCTAATTACTAATATACTCACAACTTCCTTGGTAAGCTAAGAATGTGGTAAACGAACGCTTCAATAACCGTATCGCAACGTTCTCCCTCCGTAGAGAGGGAGACGTTGTTCATTTATTAGTAATTGTAAAATTAGTGACCCTAAAAGTGAGTCATAAGTCATGTGCCGCAGTAGTCAGCAAAAACCAAGTTTCTCAGAGTATTATGATAAACAGTAAAAAATTATAAAAACTAAAATAAACAACTAAAACCTAAGTACTTGTATTCTGACCACATCATGCGCCCGGGTTTTACTCAAACGCAGGGCATCGCTTCCACGTGTTCTCATGAAACATTACGGTCTGTTCTTGCTGTCGCTGCTTCTCAAGGCTGGCGAGTCGCTCAAATGGATGTCGACACCGCTTATTTATACGCTGACCTCGACGAGCCTATATATATGCGCCCTCCTCCCGGTTCTAGTTCTGTCGGTTTCCCTGATAAGTTCGTCCTTGCTCTCAAGAAGTGTTTATACGGCCTCAAACAGTCGGGTAGCCTCTGGCACGCTCTCATTAAGTCCAAACTTCTCGCCATGGGTTTTACCCAGAGCCGTACCGATCCGTGCATGTTTATTATCAACACCCCCGACTTCTCCTGCATTATTATCCTTTACGTCGATGACACTATTATCTGTGGTAAAACCGATTCCGACATTAGTCACTTCAAAACGCTCATCACTCGCGAGTTTAGCTGCAAAGATCCTGGCCGACCACACTGGTTACTCGGCGTTCGCGTCATATCCTACCAATGACTCCATCCGTCTTCTCCAGGACAATTATATTACCGATGCCCTCACCACGTTTGATCTCCTTGATGCTCATGTCGCCCCTACGCCTGCCACTTCTGATATCATCAGCGCTAACGATGGTTCCCGCTTTACCTGTCGGTGCTTACTCGTATTGACATCAGCTTCCCTTTAAACAATCTCCCACGCTATATGGCTAATCTGTCTCCAGCGCATTGAATAGCTGCCCAGCGTATCTTACGGTACCTCAAAGGCACGCCCAATCTTGGCCTTACCTATTGTTTCCAGCCTGGTGCCCCCATTGTTGATGCTTTCGTCGATGCCAATTATAATGCCTGTCCTGATACTCGTCACTCTACCAGTGGCTATGTCCTTCGTATCAATGGCGTCCCCGTCGTCTGGAAGTCCAAACGTCAGAAGACCGTCAAGACTAGCACTGCAGAGGCCGAATATTACGCTGCATCTGAGGCTGGTAAACAATTTCAATGGTTGCGCAATCTCTTATCCGAGATCGGCTTCCCACAGTCCACACCCACACCGCTCTATTGCGACAATCAATCGGCCATTCACGTCATTACAGACACCGGCACTAACAAGCATCTCAAACATGTTGACATTCGTATCCATCATATCCGCGACATACAATCCCAAGGTGTCATCAGCACTCAATATGTTACCTCCTCTGACAATGTCGCTGACATTCTTACGAAAAATACCGCACGTCTCACACATTCTCGTCATACTTCCAATATGCTCCTCCGTCGTCCCTCAATCTTCCGATGCCTTCGCGGAAACAATCCAGGAGAGGAGCGTATCACACTACAGTGAACTGCAGATTGTATCCTCAATAACACTACACACTGCTGGTTTTAGGAGAGTGTTAGGGCAAAATCAACACTGTTATTCTTTTCTCCTATACAATAGCAGTTCGGTACTAAGTATAGTACACAAGATTACGAAAAATACGGCACGTCCCGCACATTCTCGTTATACTTCCAATATGCTCTCCGTCGTCCCTCAATCTTCCGATGCCGTTCACGGAAACAATCCAGGGGAGGAGCGCATCACACTACAGTGAACTGCAGATTGTATCCTCAATAACACTACACACTGCTGGTTTTAAGGGAGTGTTATGACAGAATCAACACTGACATTCTTATATCCTATACAATAGCAGTTCGGTACTAATTATAGTACACAAGAGAACTGACACATGTCAGAGTATCAATATATTATGACACTCACTCCACATGGCAGAGTGTCAATATATTATGACACTCACAGATTACATGATATACTTTCCTGTGAACTATCACATTGTCTACACAATATACAACACTGCAAAAAGGGATAATAAAGTTACTCTATTCATAGTTCTATATTGTTTAACATCTATATTGTCGTCACAATTTTCCATTTGAAATTACTGTCTTCTCTTGGTAACTTCGGAAATTTTGAAGTCTTTAGTAGTTTAGATAGTGCAGGTTTATTGTCTTTATCATCTAAGCGTGAACGCAAGATTTATAGCTCGCTAATATACTAACTAATTAGTATTAATTCGTCCTTCTCATCCTCACCACCCTCATTGATAGCTTGGTCGTATCTCCTTCTGAGTTTTGCGTCTACCATTGGCATGCGACGTTCTGGTTGCTAATCGTGAATGCCTACTCTCATCTTGTGTAGACTCGCGATGGTTATAGGTGCTGTTTGTTTCAGTTTGGCTACAATCATACTCACCAGGAAGTGATCGCCTTGACAAATTCTCTCGTATTTTTCTAAACGTATTGTTGATGCCTGTACGGGCACCTCATTAGGTGTTTGTTGGCTTGAGTTGGCACCCGGGGCTACCCTCCCCCTGCTGGGTTGTCATCCGCACCTTCACCACCATACACGCCTGCTTTGGTTGTGTTGGCATCTTGAGTCGACTGAGTGGACGTGTCTATATTGCAGGCTATTAGTGAAGACTTGTGTAAAATTCGCTGTGAATAGGCGCGTACCCCTCGTCTTTACTAGTAACTTTAATATATATATATATATATATATATATACATTTATCTCATTTACTTTTGTCGTGGTTACGATCTTCTGCACTTCCGTGGGAAGTGTTTACCGCTCTGTGCTATGCGGTAACTTGTTGTGTTCCTTCCTGTGATTGTGAAAGTGTATTTGTTGTTGGTTAGTTAAGCTTATTCCGTCACGTGCGAACATACTCGTATTTATTCCTCATGTGATATTAAGTAGATGTTCGGTCCTGATGACGTCACCTGTGAATTTCGGTCTCATTGACCTCACCGCTGGCCCTAACAGGCTTCACTTGTGATGCTCGGTCTGATTGACGTCACTTTTGATGTTCGGTCATATGTACCGTACTGTGTGAATATTGAACTTTTTGTTAAGTTTTTTCATACTAATTGCACCAACTGTCTTGTGTTTGTGTTCGCGTTCGCTAAACTATTGTTGGGTTCTACTGCTCTTGTGTATGTCTGATCGTGGTGTCCTTGTGTCCAACCAACCAGTATATACGCGAAATTCACATGCGTGTGCATGATTTGAGTGTGATTGTCGTGTTCTTGGTATGTCCTGTTTCTTGGAAACAGCGTACTTCTTGTTTGCAGACATTTAAAACTCTATCTCGTCCAAAACTCTCTGCTCCTAGTTTGCACAAGTTGTAAACTCAAGATCGTTGTGCGGGTTCGTGATTAGGATACAATCTTGCATTCCTTAGACGCAATCTTGCTTTATTAGCATGTCTTACTTCTCATGAAGCGCTATGCGCTAAGTTCGTGATATATTTGTTGCGTAAGCATTCTTGCTTCACTCACTATGTGTTGTGTCCGATCTGGGAGCTTCTTAGTCTTGTGTAGATCGATTGTGGGTCTGATTGTACCTCTCTTTGTGTTTCTGTACACTGTGATTGTTTACCTGGCGGTTGGTACCCCATAGTTGGTCACGAAATGTTCTCATCACTTGAAACATCTGAATCTGACATGACATCCGGACAATCACTGATCCCAGAAAGAACCTCTGAGTCCGAGCTCGTACCACTGGACTGCGATCCATCGCCTGCGAATGAGGTACAAAATCCTCTGTGGAACTCTCATCATCCCCGCTGTCGACGCGACGATTGTTGGCACCACCAGCCGCGCGTTCCAACGCCCGCCGTGGTTTATGCCTCCTCTTCATTTGCATTTTTTTTTCCCGCGCACGAGGCTTTGACTGCCTATAGCCAAGCAACAGCTTGATTTGCGGGCTCAATGGGACATTTGTGTCCTTAAACCATGACCAATTAATGGCCGACATGGGCACTAGTATCAGCTCATCGCCGCTCCACATAAGCGCCCAATTAGAATGACCCATTTAGTCATATCCAATGAGTATTTCACAACCCATTGGTATGTCCTCCACTACATAGAATGGGTGGCCCTTAGCTAACGCTTAAGTCCCCCCAAGGATGATCATATACGCCTCCTAGTCATCCCACGGCACAAAACACGGGATTTAATTTCCCCATTCCGTCAATACTTTCTAATGCAGTCCTGTATACTTCTGCCTGGCTGTCACACCGAGCTCACTGAGCAGGCGATTCGAAACAAGCTAGAATGTACAACCCAAATTCGCATACGCCCACGTGTGCACAGCCCCGACTATAGCAGGAACCACCGCACCATTTCACTTACGACGCAATTTCTTCTTCGAAGCTGCGCCTGCTGACCCGCCATAACGCGGGAAGTTTTCCGCTGCATGATAAGTCTCGTAACAAACCGTATGGTAGAGCTCAGCCTCTGATTCCGACGACCGGGAGTGCTTACGACCTCTTTTACGCCGTCCTCTGCGCTTATCACGCCCACACTCACGGCTATGTGAGCGCGATGAACTATCGTGCGACCGCTTGCGGTGATGTCTGTCCTTACCAGACCGCGAATGCGATCGTTCTCGACCTGATTCAGCATCGTCCAATTCCGAACGCCGATTGCGACGCTTCCAGGGCTTGGAGTAACCTTATTCTTGTCTCTCGTGTGGTAATTCTCATAAGAACGCCGATTTCCGCTACAGTCCTCGTTCCTGTCTTTCGTACGTATCTTGCGTGCCCTACCAATAAGAAAATTGAGCTGCGCCTGCAACTGCTGCTGCTTAGGCTGTTGCTGACCACCGCCACCTTTGTTGCCTTTGCCTCCATGGTCATCACTACCACAATCTGCCTTCTGGCCATTGCCATTTTTCTGGTGGCTCTGCTGCAGATTGCCTACACTAGCAATAACCTTAAAACTAACACCATCCTCGGTCTAAATGAAATCGAATAATGCTGCGCTATAAAGCACATACGACTGTTGTAGCCAGCTGAGCAAGCGCGGTGTGCCTTGCTCAGCAAACCCAGCCAAGGACAGAACGTGCTTCGTGATCCTAAAATTGAGTGAAAATAACAACTCAACGACCACAACCTGTTCGTTCACTTCACTCACTACTTTCTCTAATAACTCAGGCTCAGCAATTGCTTGTGCTAACAAAAACTTACTGATGTTGCCGTTCACCATTGCCAATGCTGCGTACGCCTTGTTGGACCCATTCCTAAGGCGCATACAGAACCGAGAAACTTCCTCAGATATGCCTGTTGGCAAGCGAAGAACCGCTTAGTCAATAGCTCGCGAAGCACGGGGAGCCAATGGCACCCCTTCTGTCAATTGAGAAATTCATTGCTGAACTGGCAGAAGTCGACCCTGATGTCGACGATCCCGAAGTACTTGGTGCCATCGCTCTTTCAGATTGACAGCGATGAGCTTCTTCAGCCCTACCTCTGTTCGGATCCGCTGCCCCATGGCTTCGTCCTGCTGAAATTGCGCCCATTGCGCTTTCTCAGCTTCCGTCGGCTGGCCATCGCCACCATTTCTCGATGCACCCGATGTGCCCGAATCTGGCTGAGTCGCTGTGGGATCCTGTTGCCCTATAGGTAGTGACAGAGTGGCTGGCTCTGGCACCGCCGAAGCACCTGATGCTGCCGTACGCCCGCCATCCGACGGCGTATTCAACTCGGCATCTCGCTGATCCGCTAGAAATGCAGCCGCTCGATGGGGAGCTGCCTCGTTCTCTGCACCAGTTTGGTACGCCTTTAAATGGCTACGCAAGAGAGGGACCGAGCTTGAGCCCCCTAACAGGCTCTCGGTTCCCATGTTTGCTCGAAGCGACGCGACAAAGTTGTCGGCCGAAAAGCTGCTGCTTCCGCTGAGGTTCGGGCATCAAGTGACTCCTCCAGGAACACCTTCAACAGGGCTCTGTCGCCATGTAAGAAAGCAGCTCCTATAAGACATGCACAGTAACTTGCAGATCCTTCCGCAAAGCTCGCGCAACCGCCGCTGAATGAGAAGTGTCCTTCCGGAAATGACGACATTCGCCAGCGTACAAGGTGGCCATCGCCAATAGCCACATATGATTTCCTTGCATTCGTTGAGCTGAATTTCTGTACAATTGCGGGCCTATGTAGAGGCTTAGCATCTGTTCCTTCTCAAATAACTGTCGACTTCCAAGCGTAGAAGTCATCACACTTGTTGTCATGTAATAAGTGACGCTGATACTGCTTGGCCATGCCGAGGCTATGTTAACTATCTACACCAACTATATACTACTATTGTGAGATGGGGAATTCACGGCTAGCTAACAATCAATTCTTCTACTGAGAGCTATATTAGTAGGTTTAAAAAATTTAGAGTAGATTTCTGGGCCCAAATATATATATATATATATTAATATGTCGGTATGAATATTTGGTTCACAGAATTTGATAATTATCACGTGTCACTATATTATACTCCAAAGTTTGGTACTACGGCTTCGAGGCCGATCACAATACACACACACACACATATATATATATATACATATACATGCATACATTTAACAATATATATACATATACATGCATACATTTAAATGTATATAAACATACACACAAACACACACACACATATATATATGTATATATCTATCTATTTATATAGATATATATGTATATGTATAGATATATATGTATATATCTATATACATGCATTATATCTTACATATATTACACAAACATAGGCATGTATTATATATTATACAATATTAAATCATATTTAAAGACATACACACGTACATAAAAAATATGGATATGGATATGGATATATATATACATACATATATAGGCATATTTATATACATATACATATACAATACATACATATATATATACATATATATACATAAATATACATATACAATATACATACATATATATATACATTTACATACATACACATATATTATATCTACATTTATATATATATATATATATGTTTGTGTTTATGTAAAGTTATATACAAATATAATATTAATTGAAAATCTGTAACAATAGTATATTAGCTGTAGATATCGCACACCATATTTATATACATATATACGGTTACGTATATATGCATACACACTCATATATTCATACAGTTATATATATGTTTTCATATATATATATACATACATATATATATATATATATACATAAACATATATATATATATATGTATATTTATTTAAATATTTATAGGTATATACATACACACACACATATACATACATATATATATATATAGATGCATACAAATAAACAATATATATATATATACATATATACATATATACACACACACACACACATGTATATATAATTGGACTATATTTACATATCCATATCTACATATAAACATATAATTATATAATATATTTATATACGAATATATACAATATATATATATATATATATATATAGATGTAGTCATATATATATATATAAATTCGAAAATATTTATAAATGGACTTTATATTTATATATCCATATCCATATCCATATATATATACATGTAAATAAAAATAAAAAAATAATATATATATATATACGAATATATATACATATACATATAGATATATTCATATATATGCGTATATATACATATACATATAGATATATTCATATATATGTGTATATAATATATATATATATCTATGTAAATATAAATATATATACAAATATATATATATATACATAGTATATACACATTTACCTTGATAAACATATATTTATACGTATATATAATGATATATATATATATACGTATGTATATAAATTTATATACGTATACGTATGCGTATATACATATATATATATATATGTATACTTAAATATATATATATATATAGCAATGGACTGTATATATAGATATACGACTGTATATATAGATATAGATATATATATACGCGAATATATATATATATAAATATATATACATATATAGCTAGTTATGAATATATATTCATATATATATATACATACACATGTATATATATATACGTATACAAATATATATCGTGTATATGTATATATATAGATACGTACATATAAATATACACGTACAAATACACGTATATATTTATATATATAGATATAGATACGTACATATATATATATATATATACGTATATAATATACAAGTACTCCTCATTACATCAACTGCATTCGTATCTGCGTACAAGTACAGACTCTATAACATACGCATACAATATTTTATCGTATTTCGCGTTCCATCTTTCTATTAGCGTTCAGTCGCTCTCACACATGTTATATTCGCGTACAGGAAAATTATACATATTGTCGCGCCAAATCCAAATTCGAAACCAACCCAGTCCAAGCCTGAAAATCAATCCGCTGCTGCATGAGCTCCCTGCGAACTCAACGGACAACCAGTAGAAGGCGCGACTTCTCAATGGCCAATACTATCAGGCCCTGACTTCTCTGGGACCTACAGGCATATTCCACTTAACTCTCAAAAGGGACCCATTTCAGGACCCCCAGGGACGAAAATTCTAGTCCACAAGGGCCAAAGGTAGAATATACAAACATATAATCATATATATATTATATAATCATATATGTATATATATATATAATCATTTATATATATATACATAAACATAAGCATACATACATACATACATAAATATACATGTGTGTGTACGGGTATAGGCTGTGGTGGTTCTCGTATTCGTTATGCTAGTGCGTATATTTTGACGAGGATATGTGTGTACAATGATACGAAAACATGCTATGGACAAGTGTGTATTGTAGTGAATCTTGATCACATACCGCTCTTCTGTATGGTTTGACGACCATGTATGCAATTTTGTGTTGGTGCTGTACTTCAATGTATATACATATATAAATGCATATTTGTATAGATGAATATAGATGTATATGTGTATAAATATGAATATTTATATACATATATATATATATATATATACACATACATATAAATACAAATATGCATATATATATAAATATTTATACATATGTATATGTACAATATATAAATATATAATTGTGTGTATAAACACATATATTTGTGTGTAATATATTATATATATATATATCAGCCTACATCATTTCATATACCGTCAACTGGGTTTGTACAATTGTGACATATGTTTATGTAGATATACAGACATAAATAAATATGTGCATGTATTATATGTTATAGTATATATATACAGGTAATATATATATATGTAAATATACAGGTATTATATATTATATTTTACATATATACAAATTATATATTAAATTTTCATACATACAAACATATATATGTGTGTATATAAATATTATATATATATATATATATACCTGTATATAAATATAAACAAATTATATATTCAATTTTCGTACATACATACATGTGTATATAAATATTATATATATATATATACCTGTATATAAATATTATATGTATTTTGTATATGTACATATGTATAATACATAAAACATCCACATATATATATATATATATGTTTTCAAGTTTTAGGGATGGCACCTCCATTATAAACTTCATAAAATTAAAAATAAGTACTCCTCATTACCTCAACTGCATTCGCGTCTGCGTACACGTACAAACTTCATAACATCAATATAGTGTTGTATTGAGCGTTCATCTTCCTGTTAGCGCTGAGCCGCTCACACAAGCTATTTTCGCGTCCAGGAAAATCATACATACATATTGTCGCACCAAAACCAAATTTGAAACAACCCGGTTCAAGCCTTAAATTCAATTCGCCACTGCCTGAGCTCCCTGAGAACTCGAGGGCCAACCATGGGAGGCCCTGACTTCTCAAGGGCCACTAACACCAGGCCCTTACTTCTCTGAGACATACAGCCTGCTACAAGCATATTTCACTAACCACCCCATTGAGGATCCCTAGGGACGAAAATTCGAGTCCCTAAGGGCCCAGGGTAGGAAATAAATACATAAATACATACATATAAATATATATAAATATACAAACACACATATATATATGCATGTTTGTGCTTGTGTGTATATGTGTATACATACATACATACATACATAATATATATTCATATTTATATATATATACATACATACACGCACATAAACATATATATATATATATATATACACACACACACAAATATATATATACATGTGTATGTGTGTGTATACATAAGCCGTGATGTTTCTCGCATTTTTGGTGCTTGTGTGTATGTTTTGACGAGCATGTGTCTGTACAATGATGCGAATGCATGCGATGGACAATTGTGTGTTGTAGTGAATTTCGACCACATAATGCTCATCTGTATGTTTTAGTTTGTGTATGTATGTACAATGATGCGATAGACAATTGTGTGTTGGTGCTATACTTCAATATATGGGTACAAGTATCTGGTAGTTTCGGAGAACACCAGTAAGGGGTAGGCTAAAGATATTCGTACGTCAACGAGGCCCGCCTAAAGTACATCGATGCGATTGCAATATATATATATATATATATATATATATATAATACCCTAACATATATGAATATATATATACTTCGATATATATATAAGCCTACATTATTCCAGATACTGTCTATTGGGCACGTACAAGTGTGAATTCATCAGTAAAACGGTGCTTGTTCATTACAAAAAGTTGACCACACGAGATTGCAAATCTTGCACATTTCTTGTGTGGAAAATCACAGCGGTGCGCGGTTATGCCGTACTGTCGTTGGGTGTCCGGTGACGGTTTGTTGTGATAGTGCAATAATAGGCTAGGGCGCTCATATCTATAAAATAAACAGCTTGTACACTACAACTAGCTTCACTAATGTCTGCTTGCGTAGCAAAATATAGGACACTGTTTTACTTGTGAAAAACTGAAAATCCAGAAAGTTGACTTGTAGTAAATACAGCTTTCAAACAAGGCCTGGATCGACCCGGCCTAGGTCAAGAATACAACGAGACAGAAATCTAATTAATAAACAGCATATATCAAAAGGGTCTTATACTTTACTCATTTGTAGATGACAAAGAACGTACCGAAGAAGGCTGAATTTACATACGAAGCCAACATAAGGGCACGCACTGCCGGAACAACAGCATCAATAGTATCATGCTACTCCCCCAGAATCACTTGCCATTCGATCTACATTACTTAATTTCGGGATACGCTCCTTGATCGCAAGTTAATTCCTCATTTTCGCAACTTGCACCAACTTTTGAATCTTGGATATCGTATTTTATATTGATGCATACGGCGTGCTCAATGTAGTCCATTCGAGTTATACAGCGCAGTTGTTCCTTCATGAACCGTGCACACTCGCGGCCGAGTGTTATTGCGCTCCAGGAATACAGTAGACATGCCGTAGGCGATGGCAGTCAGCCTAAACTATTTACATGTACTTCGATCTTTGCTGCTTCTCCTTCAGTTCGCTTCTGGCCGCGGCGACGAATGCCTTGAGTCCAGGAGTGCTCATACTCTTGGGACGCTCGAGGGGTAGACCCATAGAACGACTCCACACAAGTGATGTAAGTACACCAATTGCGCGCGACACACCGAATAGCACGGTGTAGAAATTCATCTCAGTCATGCCGTAGTGTTGCAGCAAGATACCAGAGTGAGCGTCCACATTGGGCCAGGGGTTCTTGGCTTTTCCGTGTTTCAGAAGAATGTCAGGAACCACTTCGTATAGCATGGAGACAAGCTTGAAGTCGTCGGAATCAGGCATGTGCTTCAAAGCAAATTCGCGCTGACAAGTGTAACGGGGATCAGTCTTTCTTAGGACAGCGTGACCATATCCAGGAATAACCTGGCCTGAGTTGAGGGTATTCCAGACCTCGTCCGAAAGGCTCTTCTTATTCAACTGTATCAGAAAAAAAGAAGCAAATCACGACGTGAGTAATGATAATCAATATTCAACGTACTAACTATGCGAAATACAATGCATGAAACAAGTATAATGGGCTCAGAATATAAAATATGAAAAGCTCGTTCGAATTCAGTCTAACAATTTGTAAAACCTATTCTATGATTTCCCAGGAAGACCCAGTATCTGCCTTGAAAAGCAAGCTAACGCGAGATCTATGACAGAATAAACAAAGCCTATGTAAGAAGGAACAAGCCTCCACTGTCAACCTAATTACACAGAACGCCAACAAAATAAACAAGGTACAAAATATTCACATACGTTTTCTTGCCAATTGCCGCCGTTCTTCTCTCCTAACCTAGCCTTGATCTTGGTCAACCAACTAAGCACCTCCTGATTAGCAAGTCCGTGCAAGGGACCTGCAAGACCGTTCAAAGCAGCTCCATAAGCCAAGTATGGATCGGAAAGCGCACTTCCTACCAAGTGTGTTGTGTGTGCACTCACGTTACCTCCCTCGTGGTCGGCGTGGATGACAAGGTACAGACGTAGTAGATCAACGAAACCCTCATCAGTGAAACCCATCATATTGGCGAAGTTGGCTCCCAAATCTTTTTCTGGGTCGATTTTACCTATGGGGCGCCCATTGTGGAACACGTTGTTATATATCATAGCCGCAATAACTGGCAGTTTAGCGATAAGATCCAGACTGTCTTCTAGTGTGAGCTCCCAGTACTTGCTCTTAGGTGTATCACCAGTAGCGTATGCTTTGGCAAACTTGGACTCTGAGTGTAGGGCGGTGACGGCAGCGGACAACTGAGCCATAGGGTGCAACTCCTTGGGGAAGTTGTTAAGCATCTGCTCCACGTGGTGAGGTAGTTCTGCACGACGAGCCAGGTCTTTCGACAACAAAGTGGTTTCTTTCTGGGTAGGTAGTTCCCCAGTCAACAGCAGCCACAGAGCGCCTTCGGGCAAAGGCTCTTGTCCTCCCGGTCCACGAGGAAGAGTTTCTTGCAGCTCTAATAGTGTGTGACCCTGGAACCGGATACCTTCGTCTGCGTCGAGAACAGAGGTCTCAGATACCATACCCTTGATACCACGCATGCCTCCGTATGCCATATCCACGGTTAAAATACCAATAGCTTCTCCTCCGTGTGCTTCACGGAACTCTTTGACATCCTGGGCGTGCTTTGGCAGGATCTCGCGAAGTCGTTCGTATAGGGGTTCGAGGCCGTTTTGTTGAGGGATCATATTGAATAGATATTAACAACCGAGTGCGAAAGCCTACTTTAAGATTAAATTTAAGGACGATCTATATGATCATCGACAAACTGAAGTGTCCACACCAGCACGATTGTTATTTATGCATACTCATGTAAAACCTACGAGCATCTAGAGTGTATACAAAACCGACATATAATAAGGTAATTGCTGTTATTTAGCGCCGAACATATCATTGATCTAAATTCGCAATATAAATATAGCGAATTCCAGTCAATGATAACAAAACTCAGACATAGCCTCCCTAAAAAAGACAGGAGGCTACATATGGCTCAGATAGTTAAGGTTATGTAAAAATTGCCTGTGTCTGTATAAGGACAGATGGGAATGTCGCAACCCAATGGCAATCAGCGTTGCGTGTGTCAACGCTCCTCGTTTGCTTCAATCACTATTCGAGAGGTCAGAAGATCTGAGAAGAAAACCAAATACGTACATTACGAGCCACTTTCGAAAAAACAAATATTACTCTCGTTAAAATGACCCAGAAAGGCATGGTCCTCTGAGCACCTCTCTCTGGAGTCTGGAGTGAATGGAGTGTGGAATACTGGATTTGTCTCTCAGGAATGATTTCGTCAGCTGATTTTCGTCCTGGGGAAATTCATTTTTTATCTCGCGACAATTCTAGAGAGGGCCATGAGAATGGGTACACTTTTGGGGCAGAGATACTTAACTTGACATTCAATGAATCAAAAGACTGATAAATACATTCCAGCTGTATTAACAACGATTGTTCGTTGGATGTACCCTCATACCAATTACCATGTCTGGTTCAAACTTCAAAAATTAGCTGTACTACGAAGATATTCCCGCCAATAAGGTCAGTTTTGAGAGAAATGAATGTTTTATAGAAATAAATGGGGGGAAATTGCATGCAAATGACCGGCGTTATTACCATCGGACCATATGATGGCAATATTGTCTAAATAGCAGTAGGCCAATAGATCAACTGTAAAAGTATACTCACTTCTAGTAGTAGGAGATATAACAAGCTAGAGTAAATATTGTTTTTTGTACACTTTTGTTGGCTATTGTTTGTGATATGTCAACGTAGTAATCAATGATATGTCACATTAATTATTGTATTCCACACGTATGATTTGTAACTGTATTTTCGCGAAAATGGCTCATTGGTTTTTTTAAGAAAAACCCAAAAACCCAAAAATAAAATGAACATAGCCTTCTGAGAAGGCTATAGAGTAACGAGAGTCAAGGACTCAAGAGGACTAGAGACTAGAGAGGAGCCAAGCTGCCCACCAGCAGCTCATCAATCGACTAGCGAACTAGCGACGCACCAGTCATCACTAGAACTTTTTGTTGTTGGGGTTTTTATATCTTGCAGAACGAAAGAAAAGAATACATATATAAATAGGAGCTGAAGGTATTTTTACGAACTTTTTCATGTTTGTCAAATTGTTAGGCGTACCGCGTACCCAAAAATATTGTTTTATAAAAATACAAAAACAAAAAACAAAACAAATGATAGTTGTTTTGTTTTGGTTCATTTATTTAAAAAAAACAAAATGAACAACTACATACAAAAATAAATACAAACAACATCATCTAACAATCTGACATGACATGTGTGCAAAACATTTTTGTAAAAAAATACTAGCACTAAACAACCAATAGGAGTGGTGATAAATATATTCGTTTGTTTTGCGGTGCTTGATATTCATTATTCTGGTTAAAACTATATTTTATATATAAAATAGTCTACACTCTACACTCTACAGTCTACAGTCTAAGTTACAAATATGTTATATATATTTACACTGTGTATTTGATTTAAAAAAAGCGGCGACTTTTCTAATAGACACCCGTGACTATAAAACAATTAACTCTCGAGCCCATGTAGTTTTTTTTACTTTATTGTAATTTTAAGAAAACTAAAAACCCGCCTGTATAGAGTATAGACTCTATAGAGAGTATACTAAAGACTGTGTACTCTACTCTCTAGCTAGACTTTTTTCTCTCTACTCTCCATTTTATACTCTAGAGAGCAGAGTAAGCGGGCGAGAGAGAGAGCTGAGAGTTGACACTGAGAGACTGCGTGTGTGACTCTGAGACTCTTTGAGAGTTGAGACTTGAGTTTTGAGTTTTGAGATAGACTATTTATTAGAAATTTAGATATATTGGTATTTGGTCCTCTCACGGTGGGCCTCTCCCTCTAAAAATAAAATTGAGCTCTCATACTAGTATTTATTTTTAGTATTGCATTGTCAGTTGGTCATGGTTTTTAAAAAAAGAGAAAAATACGTATAGAAAGGTCTAAATTTAAAAAAAAAGGTTATATATGTACGATAATACTATATACTATTAAAAAAATATATATAGGCTATGATAAAAAAAGAATCTTACTATTTTGGGGGTTTTTTTCTCACAAAATATAAAATAGACAATAAACAGAAAGTACCAACAACGTCGACAATACATTTTAGGAAAGTGAATATGAAATTCAAAGCATACTCTAGATATAAAATAGGGTTGACTTTCCGTACCAAACGAAAACACAAACGTGGCTGTCCAACGGCATATCAACAGACTCGCTAAGAATTAAAAATGAATTTGGTCGGTCTCGTCTATTTGATTTATTTTTATCTCCTATTTCACCATTGCAGGATTTTCAAAAGGATCCCGAATATATTTCCGAACCTAATAAAAATATTTTTGGCGTCCAGAACTCGAGATATCCCGAAGTAGTGCCAGGAGTCCAGGAGTACAGGAGTCCAGAACTGCCCAGGAAGAGTAAAATAAATTTAACGCCAGGGACTGGAATTGAGGAAGACTGTCAGTAACTGTCACTGATGACTCTGATGATTGTCGCAGGGGTGGAGGCCGCCTGTAGTCCGATTCAGACACAGCAGTGGTGTGTCAATCACATAGAGCTGGCCTGACACTTGACAGTGCGGAGTGCTGAGTGCTGACTGCTGACTGTTCGCAGTCTCTCTCTCTATTTAAAAACAACAACAATATGCCTTCCCTAACTAGCTCTATAGAGTAGAGAAACTCTGAGAGAGATAGAGTATGCAGTAGTAAAGTGAGAGAGAGAGAGTAAAGAGTATTTGTAGTAAGGAATTTAGAGAAAAAGGTTGAAACTTCCTTTCAAATATAGTTCCTGCCATTCTGGAAATTACAAAGACAAAGGCAAAAAATAGCCTTCTAAAATCGAACATGGCTATGACTAATGACCATCCTATGAGACTACAGTCTTTTTTTTCTCAAACATTACAGGTTGCCTTCTTTAAAAAAAAATAAAAATCGAACGGAGTATCTACTATCTGCTAGTACTATTTATTGAGTAAATATACAGAGACTCTCTCGTCTAGAGAGAGAAAGACTGATAAGTTCTTCAACAGTTGGTCACTAAAGTCTCACCCTCGGGCCCCCAATTCCAGAGTCCCAGACTCTCATTCTCCATACTCCAGCAGTCCAGTGACACCAGTCACACCACACACAAACAACAACAACAAGAGTCAGCAACAACAACAAAACACAGGGAACAGTAAACAGTTGAACACACAACACACAATATCAACAAGAGAAGAGAGAGAGAGTAGAAGAGAGAGAAATGGAGTAGAAGAGAGAGAGAGAGGAGTAGAGCATCAGTCTGTGACACGTATGGGCGCCGGACGGTCAGCCCGTTAGATGTCAGGTCGTCAGAGCCTGGCATGTAGAGTTGTGAGTAATCAAATCTGAGTTTAAAAATGACCAATAGAAAAGTTATATTTGTGTCCGAGATACATTGATAAAGCTTGTGAATGGAGCCTTGGAGCCATGCCGGCCTCTCTCAGCCCGGAGTGCTGGGCTCTGGAGTCCTGGACACTGGTGGAGTGGTGGAGTGTTTATTCTGGAATCTGGATCAGATATAAATATTTTGTTGTTTGGTTATATTTACTTTTATTTTCAACTTGACCCGTAGAATTTAATTTTTTACCTTCTTGCGGTTATTTTCAAATTGTTGACAACATATTTGAACCCCTTGTGGGGGGTTTTTTTTTGTTATGTATCGGTTTTTGTCATCCTACTTAAGAACAATATGTCGTAAATATAGAAAAAAAGCAGGGCAATTTTATTTTGATCTATATTGTATTCAAATTGACCTTGGATTTGGTACAGTTCAAATAATTTGCTACCGACGTCAAGCTTCAAATCGTTTCAATATAGAATCGATAGAAACGACTTTGAACTTGACATTGGGAGTAAATAAGAAAGTAAAATATTACAGAAATAGTATCAGTTTGTACCGCTAACAAGACATTCTTTTTCTATAGGTATTCTAAAAATAATTAGCCAATGACAAATACTATCTTCAGAATCCCATTGGTTTTTAAATGTCGGCAAAATACACAACAAATAAGTGAAAATATGCGACCGGCAAGTTGGAAAATATGCGACCGGTAAATAAAACACGATATAAAAATAAAATTCTAGGTACCTATTGGCTATATTTATATTTGCCCTTTCGGCCAAGAAAACTAAGACAAGGGGCGGTCGGGCAGATAACTATTTCAAAAATAGGGCATGTCATACAAACAAAAATGAGACATGTCTCACCTACAACACACGGCACCACTTTTAGAATGCACAACTGCACACTACACTTCCACCTAGTCATACGTGTACATTCTCGGATAAATCCCACCTAGTCATATTTCTATGTATACATATACATATCCACTATACA